TTCAGTGCTAATTAACAATGGTGTGAGAACTTCCTGTAAACTGTATGAAAATCAGCCCAGAAAGGAGAAGCACATAATCTGTGTTTAAACAACAAGGGAAGCCAAGCTCATTTTTAAAGGGGTGGATCATTGCGATTTCACTTTTTTTTAGCGTTAGTTAGTGTGTAATGTTGCTGTTTGAGCATAAACAATATCTGCAAAGTTACGAAGCTAAACGTTCAATGCAAACGGAGATATCGTCTTTTAAAATTCTGGCAGTTTAATGCCTACAAAAACAGCTGGTAGGGACTACAACAAGCTACTTCCTGGGTTCGTGACGTAACAAACCCAGATAAACCCCGCCCTCGGGAAAAGGCAACTAAGGGGGCAAGGCCATGCTGCGCAGCTTTAGAGAAGAGGAAGAGAAAACTAGAGGTGCATGTAAAAATCTATTCATATATGAATCGTGATTCTGTCTTCTAACGATTCTAATGGATTCACAAGTTTCAAAATCAATGTTCTAAAGCAGCAGTTCTTAATAATGTTCCTCGCGTCCCCCTGCTCTGCACACGCTCTGCATCTCTCTCTCTCATTCAGCTCAGCTCCAACAATGAACTGTTACAATTATAAACTTATTTTCACATAGCTATGAGAAGCATTAAACATGGACGCGCGTGCAGTTGCCGTACTGTAGTAAAGCTTTAATCAGGATAAAACCGTATATTAAAAGCTAACATAAGCAGTAGCATTTACAAATACCAGCAAATCTAAAAGTATGAGACAACAACAGCATTTACAAATACCAGTGTATCTAAAAGTATGAGACGACAACAAACAAAAAGCATAGGCCTACCATTAAAAGCCGTGTTTGCACAGGTTTTGCACGATCCTCTTCAATAATATCCTCTGCTTCTCAATCGGGCTCAAACAGATAAGCGATATTAACGATGCAACGATGATTTACAATACAACCGGAGCACATGCCGCTGAGGTGAGGGGCGGGACGCTTAGACATGCACTAGAGGTGGTTTGTCCAATCACAACACACTGGGCTAGCTAACCAATCAGAGCCCATCTCCTATTTCTGAGGGAGGGGCTTCATAAAAGAAGGAAATGATCAGCGTGTTTCTGAGAGAATGGACAGAGCGGTGTGGAATAAGGCCATTAACACATTAGACTGCACCCCATAAACACAATCAAGCCTAGAAAAAAACAGTGAACCACCCCTTTAATGTTTTTACACATGGCTGCAGGTATTTGCAGTGATTTAAAGTGTTTTACAGGAGTAGTTCACCCATAAATGAAAAGTCTGTCACTATTTACTCATTCCATTTACTCATTCCAAACCTGTATTTTTTTTTAAAGTTAAACACAAAAAGAAATGTTTAGCAGAATGTTCAGGCTGCTCTTTTCCATACATTATGAATGGAAATGGGGACTTTCTTCTAAGTTCATTCAGTAGGTTTGAGCATTGCACTGAATTGTAGCATTATTGTTTTGAAAATCGCTGTCATTATTTGCAAATATTTTGTTGAAAGTCTGAATTCTGGCACGTAGCAACTGTCTTTGTGGAGATTTTGCTGGTTCTCTTCCGCCCATCTCACAATCTTATTAAACTGACTTTGTTCTTCAGATGCAGAGGTAGAAGAAAAGATAAAATAATATTTCCGTGTAGGCAATAAATAACATTGGCCTTGAGGCTTTCATTGTTCAGGAAGGTGGAAGAAAAACATAATTCATCACTGAAATGTGCTTTTTAAAGTGTTTTATGTAGTGCTCAGTCCCAGTGGACAACTTAAAGTACACTTAAAGCATTCTGACAATACACGTGTTTATATATTTATGCTATTTTTATTGTTTCTTAAATTTATTATTTGGAATACAGTTGTGCTAATGATTAAGATTTACTTGTGCATTATTTATTTATTTATTTCAACATATTATTTGGAATACAGTTGTGATAATCCAGATTTTATTTGTTTGTTTTTTGTTTTAGTTTTTTGGTCAGGCAGGGAAGGTCCTTCAATATAAATGGAAACTTCAAACCAAACACAGTTGTCTTGGTCCAAAGAGAAGATGACAAGAGGAGGAAGTCCTGTAGAAAAGGGATGGCTCGCTACCCATTTTCTGTTTCGGCTGCTTAAACAAATTGTTTCCTGCATTTTATTGATAGAGTTCCTAACTCAAAATGCCAAAAGGCAACAGCGAGTGAATGCAATCTTCAATTCACCGTGCCAGCTGCATAATAGGATTTTGAAAGTGCCATTTGATATGCTTTATGTATTTATTTTGAAGCGCATTAACAGCAGCGTCTGACCTTGCGCATCTCTAAGTATAACCTGAAGATATTAAGGAGGAATTTTAAGGAGTTCTGTTACTCTCAAGCTTAAAACGTAACATTATTAATGCAACTTTAAACAAAACTGAGCTAATTAAATAACGTTTAATTTTGTGGATAAAATGAAGAAATGTTTGGATGACTTAAACTTAAAATTGATATTTTAGACAATGTATAATAATATTATTTATGCACCTTCACGTTTTTTTAAGTTAAATTGAGTTTTTGAGTTAATTTTATTAGTCAGTATATAATATAAATTATAATCATATGAATATTATTAGGGTGATGTTTTAAAGAACAGGGGTAATTGTGTGTACATTTTCACCTTGCTAAGTCTCCTTTTAGTATTTACAAAAAATATTTTAATGGTCCTTTTGGGACTTTTAGACTTTCCAATTAAGGAAAAGAAAAGTATTTTAATGACCTAATTAGCTGCAGGGGTCATTTGACACTTAGCTGAACGTCTCCTCCTGTCTTAAAGGCTAAAGCTAATTAAGACTTTTTCCCAAGATTTCCCCTTAAATATGTCACAGCAGACCACTGTTATTATCTCAAAATAATCTCAGTTTATAGCCATGAAAGTGATTGCGGCTGCTCATTACATTTGGATTTCAGATTGAAGTTCACAAAGAGCAGTACAAAATCTGATAAAAGTCCTTTTCATTTGGCAGTTCAACTGAATTCCAAATGAAACCTTGATGATGACTTTTATGCTTCCTTATGAAAGAATCATTCAAATTAGTGGTGCAGTTGTTACATATTTCAAAATATTCAGCTAATTTTTTATGTAATAGCCTATTTGTTTACTTGTTTATCCTTCAGTATGACTTATTTACCCACAGTCTTCCTGTCATGATACCTGCCAAAAGAGATGCACATATATTTGTAATCCCTGAGGGAATAAACACTCCCAATTCATATTTTCATGTGCTTTTTTTTCATATGAAAGTCCTTGTATCTCTCACACTGAAGCGGTGTGAACTCTCACACTGAACCTATGCGTATCTACAATGTTAAGCTTTCTTTGAGTACTATGAGCTCTCTTTAAATAAAAAAAGAAAGAAATTAATACATAAAAAGAATAACTGGGTCTGTCTGTCCACGTTCTGTTCACACCACTTGTTGACCTTGTGTCAAGACGTCTGACCTTGTGAACTAAATGGCCTTGTGAATCTTCCTAAGAGAATTCCAAGGTAAAACTGACTGTCAGGATCAAAAACGTTGAATGACAGCATGACTGTTTCTCCATGTTCTCAGCATATATTATGTGGTTGAACATTCAAAACAGTCAAATGTTAGCTCGCTCATTCAAGGCTTAACAGAAATGACTTTTTTTTCTACCATCCAGTCAGGCCAATAGGTCAAACCTTTATTTGCTCTAGTGACATTTTCAGTGGCCCTGAGGCACAAATGTGAAAATGCTGTTTTCTTAGAATTACTTTGAAGTGAAGTGTTTGAATATTAAGACAACATCTTAATATTGTCATGTACAACATAATTTGTGTATATATAAATATAAAATATTTTAATTAACAACAGTACTACTAAATATTATTAATATTATTCAATTTACATTTTATTTAATTGTATTTTAAATTACATTTTCAAAGCTTGACAGTAAGTTTTTTTTTCTTTATCTGCTGTTTCCGAGATAGATAGATAGATAGATAGATAGATAGATAGATAGATAGATAGATAGATAGATAGATAGATAGATAGAAAGATAGATAGATAGATA